GAACCGCTTTATCTGCATACTTTGTAGCCATGCTAGTTAGGTTCACAGGCTGCTGGATGATAGTAAGGTTTTCAAAGAGTGGAAGTGCCACTTCAGAATGACATTCTCTCGGGTGGCTGCTGGATAAAAAACATCAAACATGTTTCAAAAGAAGTTATGAATCTGAAGTTGGAGACAAAAATCAGAATTTTGCTTCAAATAGAATTGTATGGGAGGGATTATTGCTTGCAGGTAGGGCATCTGCTTTGCAAGCAGAAAGTCCCAGTTCCAATCCACAGCATCTCCAGTTAAAAGATGATATGAAATGGCCTCAGACCCTGGAGAGCCCACTGCCAGTCAGAGTAGACAATACTGACATCGATAAACCAGTGGTCTGACTCAGGCAGTTCTTTGTGCATGTCAAAACTCTGTTACGTTTTTTAAAATATATTATTATTATTATTATTATTATTACTACTACTACTACTATTATTATTATTGGTATGTATAAGGAACAGTTATTTATACAAGATAGACAGTTATACAATCATTCACAGTATGGAAAGGGCGAATAAGAGGCAACCTCTCTCTCTCTCTCTCTGATTGTTCAGGATAGATAAAACAAAATATATTTTTACAGAACACCTCACTCATGGACTTCATGACCATGCAACCTCTAGCTGACATAGCTTTATGAAGGGGACTGGACAAATGCAAGAAAGATAGGTCTGCCTTTTGTATATCTCTGACTACCTAATATGAAGAGGGACAGCTATCTCCATTATGCTCTGATCATTCATTTCCAAGGGGATTCAGCAAAACAATGCTCTTATAAAGCAAGGAAAAGAAGCACACACGTCCTCTCATGGTGGTTGATATTTAGGGGAAAAAACTCTTGAAAATTCCAGACATGGAACTTGCAGTGTCCTCCCTCGTCTGAACCTTTAAAAATGCCCTCATGTGTTTCCTTTCCTTTTATACCCTTAGAAGCTCACTGATTCACAAATCTTGAACAGTAGAAAATCCTTATTTCTTATTTTTTGGATACGAAGGCTAAAAGGACAGAGACAAATGTTGCAGTTGCTGGAGTGTGCTTCTTAGAACACATACAGCACTCCAAGTTGTAAGCAAGTAAGTCAAGAGCCACTGAACAGTGCAATCCTAGCAGTCACTCCCTTCTAAGTCGATTGAAGCCTATTTAGGATTGCACTGGTAGCATAATAGCTGAAAGACTAAGATCTGGGAGACCAAAATTCAAATTCCTACACCAAAGTTTACTGGGTGACCTTAAGCAAGTAATTCAACCTCAGGTTAACAGGATTCCTGTGAGGACAAAATGGGGAAGGGGGAATTATGTATGCTGTCCTGAGTTCTTTGGAAGGAGAGTGGGATAAAATATGCAGTAGATAGTTAATTATAAGAAAAGGAGGAGGAGGAGGAGAGTTGGATTTATACCCTGCCCTTCACTCGGAATCTCAGAGCGGCTTACAATCTCTTCATTCCTCTCCCCACAACAGACACCCTGTGAGGTAGGTGGGGCTGAGAGAGCTCTGAAAAAAATGCTCTTGAGAGGACAGCTCTGAGAGAACTGTGACTGACCCAAGGTCACCCAGTTGCTGCATGTGGAGGAGTGGAGAATCAAACCCAGTTCTCCAGATTAGAGCCCACCGCTCTTAACCACTACACCAAACTGGCTCTTGTAGAGACAAGGCCGCCCAAATCATGCAGCTCACAATCTACTGGACTATACTGACTATGACGATAGAAACAGAAGGATGTAAGTAGCGGACAGACAAAGATCTCACTGAGCAACACTGATGACAAGAATGCCATTGCTCCTCACTAGCCAGTTTGGTGTAGTGGTTAAGTGTGTGGACTCTAATCTAGGAGGACTGGGTTTGATTCCCCACTCCTCCACTTGTACCTGCTGGATGACCTTGGGCAAGCCATAGTTCTGGCACAGCTGTTCTTGAAAAAGAGCAGTTTCTGTCAGAGCTCTCTCAGCATCGTGGGGAGGGGAAGGGAAAGGAGTTTGTAAGCCGCTCTGAGACTCCCTTGGGTAGTGAAGGGCGGGGTATAAATCCAATCTCTTCTTCTTCTTCTTCTTGGGAAGCCATACCTGGTGGTGGTAGAGTGCCGAGGGCAAGCAGGGCAGGGAGGCAAGTTATAGCCTGGTGTGTCAGTGCACCCCATATCATGGCTGTAGGGTATCCCAAAGTAATAATCGAAACCTAGGATTAAAACTACAGTATTAGGACATTTAAGGCCATCTGCTGTTATTGGAAAACATGTTTAGCTGTCATAAACACCCTTGCTGCAGATTCAGTTTGTAAGAACACCACCATTTAATGAAGTGTTACTAGTAAGTGGAACAACTATGTCTTGGCAACTGGGTGCCTGTGAGCAAATCTCTGAAGTCTAATCAATCAATCAACTCCTGAGCTCCATGTAAGAGTTAAAGAGCCTCTGATAGGGATCCAATTATAGATTTGTTTTACTAACCATGTGATCCAGTGGAGATTTACTCCAGTCTATGACCACTGCTTTCACTAAGTCTGCACAGGATTGTACATTAAGTCCCTCGTTAGTAGTCGAAGTACAGGTAAATCACATAATTGTCTATATCTTCCAGTACTGTTCAGTACCATTCTTTGCAGAAGAGCCCAAAACTGGGATTTCTAAAAACTTTTACTAGATGTATAAGATGGCACTGGATGGTATAAGCCCACAAAGTATCATCTGCGGGCTAAACACTTCTGATACCAGCAGTGGGCAGAAACAGGAATACTGAACTAACCCGAGATTCTCACCATCCCTGTTTCTGGCTTACAAGTAGGCTTGTGCGATTCTTGTTATTGCAGGAGTAATTTGCTAGAACAAGCACAGAAATGGAAATTGTAACAGGCAGTGTGGTCCATAAAGGGGTTTTCCCCCCATCCTTCTTGGTAAAAATCCAACAACTGTGTAATAATCTTTAGCGCTATTAATATTACTAATTGCTCTAAAAGTTTCATGTGCCAATAACATTTTGTATCTCATTCATAATCAAAACAACCTAGCAAAGTACGCCATTACTACTCCCATATTACAGATATGGAACTGAAGTTAAGAAAATGCAGCCTGACCAAAGTCGCCCAATGAATGAATGGATATTGAGTGTAAAGACTACCTTTCTGAGCTCTAACTAAAACTGGTTCTTCTTTTATGTTTACACAATTCATCATCATGCTAGAATCATCACAGCACACTACATTAAGCTAGAAAAGAAAAGAAACTGGTCAGGGTTACAGACTGTAGTTCAACAGAGAACATGCTTGGCCTTCACTGCAGATAACATCAGTGTTTACATGTCCTTTAGTTAACACAAGAGGAAGGATGGGGGGGGAGGTGCTGCTTATATTAAGCCTTAGCCTTGGCCTGTATCCAATAAAATCTGCTTATGGAGACAGTCTCACAGAATGGGACTTCTGCTTCATCCACTCACTGAAGCCACCCCGCATCCATTTTGGTCCTTGGGTTCATCAGGCCCCCTAAGAGCAGCATGGGGGAGAGCAAAGTAGGCAGGGAAAACTGGCAGAAATTGCTCTGTCTTCCTATCATTATCATCTTTATGGGCAGGGCACTGTTTGATACAGAGGAACATTCAGTTGTGTGCACCACACCTGCAGTCTGAATGGTGCAGCCCGGATGTGAGGCTTATGTCTGTGTGAGTTCTTTATATTCCAAGAGAAGAAAAATAATATGGAGTCCTTACCACGAAAACTGGGATGATGGAGACCATTGTGTCCTAAGTGCCATTTGCCTGCAAGGAAGCCAATCTTTAGTAGAACAGCTCTACCATATACAATTCACTTATACCAATGAATGAACAAAATACGTGATGTTTTCTAGCCCAACTAGCATGCAGATGTTGGGCGGTGATTAGGCTCATCGCACCTTTAAACCTTTAGCCATGTGTGTGAAAAGTACCATCAAGTTGCAGCTGACTTATGGCAACACAGCAAGAGGCTTTCAAGGAAAGTGAGAAGCAGAGGTGGTTTGCCACTGCCTTCCTCTGCAGAGTCTTCCTTCCAAGTACTGACCCTACTAAGCTTCCGAGATCTGACAAAAGCGGGCTATACCATGCTGCCTTCCCTCCAAACCTTTAGCTAGTGACATGCAAAACAGTCCATACACAACAAACTCAAGTGGCTTTGAAAGCAAAGCATCTTCTTTCGGGCCTTGTGATAATGTTGCTCAAAAGCATGATCTAGGGAACGGAAGAAAATACCCAACCATTGATCTCCATGCCAAAGCAGAAGAGGGGAAGGTTTGCATGTAAATCAAATATCAATGTAGGACCTAGATCTGCAATTATGCCTCTCTTTCATTGCAATGTGAATGCCTATGTATATCTCTCTACCATCTCTAATACAAATACCACAGGAATAAGATTGCGGCTATAACTCGCTTCTTTCACAAAAAAGGTAATCAATAGGCTACGGTTATCTCACGCCTGCTTTACAGGATCCCTGTGTGGATCCAAAACTTCAACAAAAGGTGGGGTTTAGTTTCCAGGAAGTGCTAATTGGAGTCAAGATGCATAAATAACTGAGTGATAAGTATAGCTAAGACTGGATTAAAGCAGTTGGTACAACTTGTGAATAGCAGCAAATTATCATACAGATAAAAAAGAGTTAACAAATAAATGCGAGAACTGAGTGACTTTGCATGTGTAATGAGATAAGAACCTGATATCTCTGTTAAACCCTGGGGGTTCCATTGTCTTGAGTGTTGTAATAGCTTGTAATTCAGCAATCTCCCATTCTAGTCTGTTTCTGAAATGTATTTGCAATAAAACAGCTACTTTGAGGTCTCCCAGTATGTTGAGTTACCTATTGCAGCAGTAAGGTAGCCAGCTTTCTTCAGAACTTCAGCTAATGTTGTCTCGTTCAATGGGAGGCCACCCACTGATGTCGCAGCAAAATTGTGGGTCACTCCGTTGCGCAGGCCAAGACGTCCTGTAAGCAGAGAGGCACGAGATGGGGAGCAGGTGGATGCAGCAGAATGGAAATCTACAAATCTAGAAGCAGCACAAATAAAAGGTTTCATTTATTATTTACAATTTGTCACATTTTATTTTTTATGCAAGCAGCCTTAAACCAGTTCCGCTCAAAGTCTGAGCTGTAGTCTTCATAATGACAATCCTAATCTCTTTGTCTCCTACTTATAAAGCCATTGGGGTTCTTCAATAAATTTGTGGCACAACAATTTAAAAAAAAATAATGTTGGTCCTTTCATTTGGTGGCAGCAGAGCTGCCCTTGCCCTGTTCTTCTTCTTATGCTCTATGTTATATCAACTTTGTTCTGCAAAAGGGTCAGGTTATTATCACCTCTGCCATCCCTCTGGCACTGGACTTCCAATTCTTATGCTTTAGGGAAAGTTTAGCCTTCTAGGATTGTCTAAAAATGACAGGCTATGCTGTCAACACCTTCTTGGTAACCTACAAGTGGACAGAGAGAAGACCCTGAAATTGGTAGGCACACAAAAATATTCTTATCCCTCAGAACTGGCAAAGTGAGGGTCCTATAACACAGTTACAAACTTGGCACAACACAGGTACAAACTAGGTGAAATGTGAGTGAAAACAGAATCAGTCAATGCCATGAATGTCTCTCTCTTGAAATTTCCCTACTAGGCGACATTTCTAGCCTGCTGGGAATGCTCTAAGCTTCCTCTGCAAATGCAGCCCCAAACAGGGTAATGTGAAATTCCTCACAGTCAATGAGGGTGATTAGTGTGGAAGTATCACGTGTTTCCTTACGGACTTTGAGATGTGCAGAAGAAGCATATAAGCCATTGGGTTTATGAATGGAAATGCCATTATTAATATACGTAGCTAAATGGTAACTCATCTAAATTAGTACCTTTGACAATGCTGACAGTGTTAAGGGTCTGAGAAATCCACAGAACAGCCAAAATACAGAGCTTTGCTTCTCTTCGTGCATAAGGGCCTAACTGCACATAAGTTTTTTTCAGGTACCTCCCTGGGTTGGATCAAGAACATGCTCCAGGAATTCCAAACTTTCCAGGTGTGTGGGGATTCAATTTAGAGTGGGAGTGCAGTGTGTGGGGAGAAGACTCCCCCACCACCACCAGTGCCAATTTCTTGACCTGAAACACTACTTACTCCATTAGGGAGTATACTATATGATTACATATTCGTTTCCCCAATGGGGGGGAACACCTTAAACATTACCAAATGTATTATGGTATGTTATGGCACCAGGAATCAGAGAAGAGCAGTGCAGTTTTCCCAGGCATTATACAGCAGACTTAAAAGTACTCTACTTCAG